TCTAAGATATATAGGCTTCTTAGCAACATTGTCTTTCTTTATCTTCTCTCTAGGTTTCGACATGTATTTATTTATGAAGTTGAACGCATAATCATTTTGCTTTATTGATATCTTCAGCTTATTCATTTCTTCTTTAACACAGTCATCAGAACAAATGTTTCTTATTCTGTAACTCAGGCATTTGACCGGGTTTCTTTTATATTGAATGGGTGTGAAGCTATGAAAATGAATATACTGACCAGTCCACGTGTTCTTTGGAAAAATACTCTTTTTAATATTCCCATGCATTTTTCTGGTGAGGAGGACATCTAGGAAAGCAATACTATTCCCTAGTTCTTCCTTGCAGATGAACTTCATAGTTGGGTGAACTTTATTGAAGGTATTTAAGAGATCATCTTTATTGTAGCCATTCATGAAAATGATGAGCGTACCATCCATATACTGGCAATAATAGTCTAGTTTATCCAGTGTGTCACTAAGTGCACCGTTTTCAAGTTTGGCCAAAAAGATGTCCGCTCGCATAGTACCCAGGGGACTGTCCAATGCAACCTCATCTACTTGCTGATATGATTCGTTGTCAAAGATAAAATGAACATTCATGATGCATTTTAGTAGGAATCCCACCTGAAAGAGTGGGATTCCTACGTCTATCTGTCGTTCTCTTAATTTATCGCAAATGTAGTTAACTATTTCCATAAGCGGAACATCGGTAAATAATGATGTTATATTCAACAAAATCATTCGCTTATTTCTAATATTCATATTTTTGACCTGTTCTACGAAGTTGATTACATCTTTTACACTGAATTCTACCGATTCGCGATGTAGAGGCTGTAGCACTCATACTTACCATTTTGTTGTTGAGTGACAGGTTTTACCGAATAAAGTTGATTACCTACAGTTACTCTTGTTCACAAATGTTTTTCGGAATACGAGTGTACTAAAACTGCAGGGAACATGGCTTCATTACCCGTATGCTGTTGACTTAGTTCGTATTAATGGTTTCAGGATATTTCAACAAGACCCATGTTTTTTCGAGAAGTACAGGCGGGGTGTAACAACATTTATTATTACGAATTGATCCACTTCACACTATGTATCCTTCCCAACAACTAAATTGGTTGCCCTACAGTTATATATTGTCCTAAGCACATTCATCACAAACACACATCATTTCTGAATGCATATCCTCAGATTTGTCGACTTTGGTTGACGAATTCACTGAATTCGCCACCCGATACTAGATAACCCTGTCTATATTCTGAGAGATTTCAATCCCTGTAACTCCAGTTTCCTTGTATCTTTGGGTCATGAAAATCAGGTTAATTTTTCTACTCATCTTGACAGACACTGGATTTAGTTCTTATAAATTAATCCGGCAAGTATAAAGTCCACGAATGGGTTCCACTACTTAGTTCTGAGTATTTTGTAGTACGCATCTTGCCGAAACTGTGTGGCGAATTGGATAGGAAGGCTTTTGAACACCTTTCCAAGAAGGTTCAGCAAAGACACTATTGACAGGAGAATATAATATATTTGAGGAGCATCGTGGAAGAAACTGACTAAGAGGAATTTTTTGATCACATCTTATATCGTGCTATCACCCTCATGAGATATCTTAAATTCTTTCTTCATAAATGCCGTTCCGCTGAAACGATCTTCATGATATTTGGCAGAACTTTCTCTCCTCATCTCAACAAGCTGAGAAGAGAAAAGGAAGAGTTGCATTAGCTGAGAGATCACCCCGACGTTTAGAGCCAATTAATTAATTAGGTTTGAAATACAATGTATAAATAAAACGTACAACCAGAAGTTCCTGCCGTATAAGAACTCTTCTAATATATGGAAATTATGTGAATAGCTTACTACTAAGAAACAGATAAGGAGTATTTTCTGATGTTCAACTAGTCATTCATATATCGGAAAGCTGATTTCATCCTTTCTAGTGTCCATAGTTAAATGGGTAGTTGTTTTCTTGTCTTGATACAAATGGCGTATTTAATCTTCCCAAATTCTCGGTGTTGATGGTGTTTCGAGTATTATGCCCAGAAATTGTGCCGATCTTTTTTGCCATCGTCTTACAGATATCATCAATGCATCGTTTCCCAAAAATGCAATACCCGCTGCTTCGAAAGAGTTTTGACCTATTGCCATCACTTCCTACTTTTTTTGAAGACAGTGGGGAAGTTATTTCTACTCGTGCTTGAAGTTTCATTGAAGGCTTTACGAAATCCGAAATAATTTGCTCTCAAACATAGGAGAAATACTTTAGATGCTGACACCATCTTGCTTCATAATATTGTTTCTAGTCTAGATAGAGATGCTAAGTGTATTCGTCGAGCCTTTTAGCATAACTCATCAGTTTTTTACTGTGTTCCTAGACCATTCATGTTAAACAAGCTTGACATTGCTCATTGACAGCCATGGGTTCGGAGTCAGCTGGATTCTTAATTTTCTGAAGGAAAAAAGTATACTATCTGTAAACGGAAGATCTTCATATGATTGCTTACTGAAGCCAGTGCCTCTCAAGGTACAGTGCTTTCTCTATTAACGTTTTGGCTCTTTTAGCATGATTCACTTGGTTTAGTTGAAACTAGTTTTATTAGGTTCAGTGTTTCTTTCCTGGTTAACCCTCCTTGAGACTGCTGTGAACTAAATAGTTTGTTGTCTACAATTGATCAATGGTCTCTCTCAGATTTCCCTAAGCTGTACTCTTTCAAGGGTCAGACCGTTAATTTTAGCCTCAGGCATAAAGAAGTTTTGTGTAGCCTACTTCGATTTCATGAATCTTGTTGGATGGGTGGTATTACTGAGGAAACTAAATCTAGTGGTAAATAGCTTAGGCTGAGTCTTGCTTCTGATCTGTTGCGATCGTCTTGTTAACTTCCAAAAAGTTCTTTCCTTTAACTTATTACATGAAACTCTCCTGTATAATTTAGCCTCTACTTTCAGAATTTAATCATTCTTGTGCTATACTTATTCTTCTTTATTGTTCCCCATCAACATTTTTTAACCTATCAAAAAAGGTCTACATGATTTTGCGCAGGTCTTCGAAAGCTACTAGTAGGGTATGCTGCGCCTCTGGCTCAACTGATTAACACCACAGTTGACAAACATTTAAACTCTAGCAGATAGCTAACTAGCTGCAGTAATTTTAACTGGAGATTCACTTCATTGACACCTTTCTCCCGGTACCTCCTCGACGAGGACAAGAAAAAATTACATAAGACTGTATAGTAGTGTGGCCAAAATACAGCAATTTGACTATGTCTTAACTACCAGGCATTCAATGGGAGGAAAAAAGTGTTAGAAAATAGCTCACTTATCAACTTCGTCACAATAACCATTCAGCCTTCCCAATATTTTCACCGCTGATGTTATATTCCCTTCGTTAATAAAATTGTTTACGTTATTTAGATGGCTATATTTACACCATTCGAAATGTTGTAGAGTAATAGGTAATTCTGTTGCAATGTAACGTGCTAAAAATCCCGAACTGTACCACTAAATGGTTTGGAATAAAGTGAATAACATTAATTATATGTTGGACTATTAGGCCTCAACCTGGTGGCTAAGTCATGAAATAATGATTGTGAGACTTGAAGGCCCTACACTTGATTTCTAAAATGGTCAATGAAGCACCCTGCACAGGTATCTCAAATGTAGCGCAAATAGCTTTCTATGACTTCCAAGTATCATTTTTTCTCCAGCTGATGTCAAGCAGTGGCAAAAGCTATCCATAAATCAGACTCTAGAAACCATTAATTAAAATACTTAACTGCTTAGCGAATTTTGTTCACACATTCATCAATTATATCTGGTTAGTTTTTAAACTAATATACCTCTGTTTTATCACTATTCTTAGTGAATAAGAGGTTTTTTATAGGTTGACCGATTTCAAAGCAATGCTTATCACGACACATATCAGACAAAGAAACAAAAAAGCAGTGAGACACTAGACACCTTCTAATATGCATAATAAAAACGCACTTCCTAACATTCACTTCCTCGTCTATTGTTCCGATTACCTTCCTTTCAGATTGATTTCTCAAAGCTCTAGTAAGAAGCGGTGGCCTATGTGGTTAACTGATTTTGGTGTGAGATCATGTAGAAGCAGCTGGAAACGTTCTGTATCAGAGGCCGTTTAGAGTAATTTGCATCACTTTCTATGTCACACAAATCTATCTGTCATTTCCCAACCGATTAACTGTTGTTGCTTAAACAAAAGATAAGTCAGCACTCATCACGGACTGACATCAGTTGGAGAGCCGCTAAAAACCTGGGAGCATTGGGCAGCTGTTTCGTACTGCTTAGAATTCCCACACTGGAATGAAACAGGCTGTAGATTTCAGACTATTGATTGAATAATAACCTGTTTGGCATGAGACACAACGATCTCACACTTGACCACCAACCAGATCCTGTATGCACTCAGAAACACAAGAACAAAAGAGCTTTACAGTTATACTTTGGATGCTCATTGTAGTATCCATCCTAACAAGCTGTGTTATTCCTACCTTACCATCCAAGTCGCCTGAAAATCGTGTAGTTACTTAGGAATTTTATATTCTGAAGTATGATATAGATTCTTTTCAGCAGTTTGTTATCAGTGGTCTGTAAACAGCTAAATTGGAATGCAAAAAACTGAAATACAGTGAAATGTTATATTATTATAGTGTTCAATTACATACAAGGAACAGAAAGCGTACTCATCATTTAGGTAAAAATACTCTAGGCAATAATAAAATTGCGGAAAATCATATTAAGACTGAGAACAACCACTTCACTTTTCTGTTTCCTTTGACAATGCAATGTCGAATTGATGCATTTTAGCTTGCACAATAGCATTTGAATGCCCATTTCAATGTAACTTCACTCTTAGGTGTTGGTTATTGGTTTCATGGCTTACTTCGTTACTAGTTATCATGCGATAGAATGTTTTGACCCGAAGTATACAATTTAAGTAGAGTATCGATTATGCATTTATCAACGAGTTCTAAATGTACATGAGTAAAAAGACTATGAACTCATTTTCTGCATTTACTCATGAAAATACTTCTAATGCAAATAGAGCAAAGATTTTGAGTGATCTGATCTGGGATCATTTTGTGAATGTCATTGAGCTACTCAACAATGCAATGTATTCAGTTAAAACATGTCCATATATTGAATATGGTACAAAATTATTATCTGGTCTGATTAATTATGAACTGGATTTCTAAAAGAATGAAGTATACACTTTTATTTTTAGGTATATCATGAAATATATAAAAACGTTCTTAAGAAATTGTTTGATAGACGCACCAATCAGTGTGTCAGCCTATGCCTGCTCCCTGTAGAAATATTAGAATAATCACAGAACCGAAAACCGTGTACTCTTGGGCATGTTTGGTACTTTGGGTGACTGTAGTTATCTTTTTATTCCTAAAAACTAAAAAATCGCTGTTATTCTCTCTAACTAAACTTTTATTGAAGAATCTCAGTGATCAATATCAGTTTGCTTATAAACACCACGTAAGTGACTTGAGTACTATTAATTCTGTACATCACTACGTAGTTCACGATCTAAGTGAAGTCCTAAGGATAGATATGATTTTTTAAGACTTTAACACTACTTTTAATTTTGACCCAATGCTCTTTTAACAAAAGAAGCTTACCAGAATACATACCAAGTTCCAGATCACAAGCTTGTTACACGAATACTTCTATCAGAGAAGGCAGTGCAGTATTTACAGTGGAAGTACTCCAGTTTTCATATTGATCTTGGAATCCAGAATGGTCGTTTTGTTTTATTTGGGGCTCGTCAGGTGGATGTACCTGCATCACAGTGAGTGATGTTTTCACTGAGGCTGCAGTTAATTACTTACTGTAGCTAAACTAATCCGAAGTACTTCCACTTCATACTTATCATTTCCTCATCAGATTGTTCCAAGTTATTTGTTGGCTAAAATTCAACAACGATCATTTTTGAATAGATGCATGCTAAATTCAGCAAAATGTCACATTTTGATTTTTAACTACACACGTGAATAGGTTTTAGTTAAACCACCACGGTTATTACTAATTGTTGACATGCTTATATTTCTGTTGGATTGAATTGTTCGACCTCTGTTAACATACAGGCTCGTTTGCAAATGCCTAGATATTGCCTGAATATTTATTATGACAATTTACCTGGTTTTGTCTAGCAGAAGAATGCAGGACGCATATTTCGTCCTATTAAGTACTCGTCAGACGAATGCACCTGCACCTCATTGAGTGGTGTTGTTCCCACTGAGGCTTGAATATCGTACACATTGGAGAATTACAAGCATGTCAACAAGTAATGATAACTAAAACCTGTTGTTCCTCAAAGAATGACGCTTTGGGACCTGAAGTGATGGGTTTGAGGTTTGAGTCTTAGTGAGAACAACATTACTCACTGGCATGCTGAATACTAAATGGAATGAAACGCGCATCCTGCATTTCGGTGTCAGCCACAACCAAGTAAGTATCCACCTGAATCAACTGAACTTCGGACTATTGATAGCCATTTATAAGAGAACGTATCAAGTTTGATCATAATTGGTTTGCGTTTCTCGTTTAACCATATCTTATTGATTTCTACAAATCACTCCCTCATAACCTAATACATGATGAAGCTGTGAGTCCGTGGCATGTACCATTGTAATTTATTGATTTCTGCAGTTTAGCTGCTGTGATTTACCGTTTGTCATCAAACTCTTTAAAATGTTAGACAAAATGCCTCGTTTAAAACATTAAACACCATAAATTGCCAACCTCCAACTCTTCTTATTGACACTTACTGGGATAGAAGTCTAATTTCATGCGGGTAATCGATTACATCACTTGAGTCAGATGCTGATTGTCCTCTTCATTTACAGCTTCGTCTTTGCCTATTCTCAACTAAACCAGAAAGTAAAGACTCTAAAGATTGTACACATCATATGCTTGGAATTATGCACTGTATACTAAAAGGTTACTTAGAAAATATTGATTGATTTTTCGGTGATATTTATCAAGGATTGACATCAACTGAATAAATAGGGAAGACTTGATCACTGCACTTATATTTCTTTCTCGTAAACGAATCCTCAGTAATGCACACATAAGACACCGTCAGGTGTCGAATCCCGGACGTTAGGATCTCATGGTGAATACGTTACTGGTGTTTTCAGGTTATTAGTGGTTATCCAGTTAACATCAATTTGTCTTGAGTATCAACTTGAAATCAGTGAATCGCCAAAAACCTTCACACACTGTTGGTCATTATTGTATGAACCACTGTCTTCATCATCATCTTGACTAAATAATCTTTTTGCATTGCCAGGCTATTCTCATTTTGAAACGTGAATACACCAATTTTAAAACTGACACAAATCTAGTCCTCTAAGAAATTCTCTTAGGACTGTGTAAACAACAAAAATCCAACTCAGTTTACACTCGAATTAAAAATGAATGACTATTTCCCTAACTATAAAATCACGCACAACAGTTTAATTTCATTCATAACAGTTTTAATATAAAGTTAATCCTGCAGACAAAATGTTCCAACTTCTAGGGCTTCGTAGTCTTACGGTATTCATTGGAATTATAATACAACTGTATACAAAGGATACACACCCAACCTTATCATGAAGATGAACATTTATACAATAGTGGTATGCCTATTTTTCAAGTTGTTAATACCAAATGAAAAGTAATAATCAAAATCTAACGTCATAAATAGCATAAACGTAACAGATGGTTGATAAAATTATCCTGCCGTAAAAAGTAAAATGAGCATATCTGAGTAAAATAACAATAATGAAGGAAAAATAGAATATGATGAAGATACGGAACCAGAAATTTGAATATAGTATTGAAACAACACGAAATTAATAATTCTGCATGAATATGAGAATTTGTTTGTGTTCGAAATCTCATCCACCAAATGAAATAGATTATCTCATGTTCTATGGAATAAACAATCTTATATGAAATGAAACTGTGTGACAATGATCAATTTTTACTTTTAGATCAGTCTAACTGATAACTTTACCCACTACAAACCGAATAAGTTGGTTTTGTATACTTTGACAACAACTACTCTGACAAAAGATAAGGCATTACATTTCATTTCTCTGTTATCTTCGTCGGTGTCTCTGTATTAGATCAAGTATCACCTACATATCATTTTGATCTGAAGTGTTTAGAGTGTATTCGACAGTGTTAACAAAAATATCATACTGTACTTGTCTAGTACATCTTGTGGTTAGGAGTTTTGAAGATTTAATTGCACTTAGATGAAAAATAAAAGAGGGAAGCTCACCAATTTCGTTTTTTTTTTAGTAAATAGTTCCTTCATTAATTGCAGACTATTTCCAAAGATAAAATGTTTTTTATAGTGTATCGCTCACCCATTTTTTACCTGTTGTGTCGATTATATCCCATGTAAACTCAAGGTGAATAAGTAGAGAATTATTTATTAAATATAGTCTATCTAACTCTCTTCGTTTCTGCCTGCGTGTACTTATTGATTTACATTAGTTTATAGTCAATGTTACGTTGGTAGTGCATAATATTGGCTAAAATTCCGTTAGTATCGTTTACAACATTGGAAAACGGCTTAACAGCAACATATTCAGTTCATTCTTATAGCGAAACAGAAAAAATATGTTAGTGTTACCTTAATAAACATTACTATATTACATTACTGCCATCAAAAGGTTATATATCAAAGGTGCGAAGGTGCATTCATCATATAATTATAATTATTATAAAGATATTGGCGAGTGTCACATCCAGTAGGCAACCTGGTCCGTGTCATTAATTAATGCTTTTTACGTTCAAGTTTTGGAAGAAAATAAAGATTTAAAGCATAGATAGTCAAAGAGCATTTTCTCAACTGCTTTGTCTGTATCTGAATTTTCAACATAAACACTTCATAAGTCAATCGGGAAATATGAATGACGACGGAATTAGTCTAACACTGTTATGACATTTTTTTATTTACACCGCTAAATTCTTATCAAAGAATAAAGTAATATAAACAGTGTACACTTTGGTGTTACCTCCTTGTTTATTATCTGTCTTAGACGCATACCTTTTTCAGATAAAATTTGAAAACATTTCAGTATTATTTACATTGGTCATAAGTATTTCCACCTGTTAGTTCATTTTGCTTATTCTGTACACACGTTTTATCCTAAACTTGAAATTGTAAAGGTGTAGCTCCTACTTGGTCATAAATATTTATCAAACAGAAGCATAAAGTTTACTTACTTTGTTCCCTGTCATAAATTTGATCAGACCGAAGTTGTGTGGGCGTGCACCTCAATTATTTCCTATGTCCGCATTTTCAAACGCCGAACAAAATATGATTACAGATTGCAGTATAATAATAATAATGTAATTTTAGGGTAGTATTCATCTCGGACTGACCACTTTGGGAACCACTATAAACCTTCAAGCAATGGACAGTTGTTTCGTCCTAGTATGGGACACCTCAGTGGTAGGCACTTATGAGCTGGCTAGAAATCAAACTCTGGATGATGATGAATACTACCTTAAAAGTGAAGTCCTGGATATCATCAAAATGCATCATTGTCTAGTGCTCATTGATGACATACTTTCAGCTGAACATCCTGAAGTTCTTATGAAAAGCTGTGACTTGTGGGGTCAACTAGTCAGAAAAGATGAGGATAACAACTGAAGAGCTTGAATGATAGTCACGTTATATTGCAAAGTGACAGAAGTTGAGAACTGCTAACCATTAAAATGTGACCCAGTTACTAAGTGGTTAACGCGTTTGCAGTTAAACCCGAAGGTCCTGAGTTCGATACGTAGCCAGGTCTTGGGTGTGTAATGATGAGGATTATCATACTAAGACGAAAAGATTGTGAAGTGCTCCTAGGTTTTTGAATGGTTCTCCAAGCAGTATCTGTCTGTGAATTATACCATCTTTAGAACAAATCCCCAATGACCTCAAAATACAGTAATATATTTGCTTTTTACCAAAACATAATGGCCCCATGAATCGTGTCTATTAGCCTTTAAAAAGAATATCAAATTTTTGCTACAAATTTATAACAGTTTACACTGGCTAGCTGGTCTTAATTAGGTCACCAACAGTTATTATTATTTGTCCTTTGGGTTCCTACTGGGACATACGGCTTCAGAAACACGTCACAATTTCACTCTCCTCTCTGCAGTCTTTCGAACTTTGATCCATAACTACCCA